AAAAGGACTGCATGGGGAGGTTGTCCCGTTCTGGGTCCCTAGTGTGGAGCTCACAGAGAGGAGAGACCTGGGGGAGGGGAATAATATGGAAGGGGAGGGGAGGCCTCCCTGCACTGGTTCCGATATAGCACCCCTGGCTGCCCAGCCCCAGAGATGAGGGGCAGGGGAGGGAAGAGGGGAGGAAGAGTTGCTCAGGGACCCTGGACTCCAGAGGAGGAGATGGGCAGATACACTTGAAACAGGTATTTTTAAACCTGCAGCGTCCAGGTTTAAAAGCCGGTGCAACCTCAGAAACAGAAGTCTGTGTCAGAGGAGGTTACGAACTCATGTCCTTAGACATTTTGCAGGAGTGGAGGATGATGGGGGTGCTGATACCTCCAAACTATCACTCCTCCACCCTCCTGGGGAAAAGCTTTCTCCGAGGGCCTAAACATTTTTCATCACTGTCATCTCCCCAACTCTTTCTTGGCCACTTCCTTCACCTTCATCAGAGACTTTGCCTCTGGCTCAAAGCCTTCCTCTGTACCCCAAGTCCTGCCACCATCAAACTGAGCCACACCCACGTCAGTAGGGCCAACCGCTCCAATTCCATGGCCTCACAGCTCTCCTGTCTTCTCAACTCCATTGGCCACCTCACCTTCTCGCCTCCATTGACTATCTGAGCTCACCTCCTTTGGCCATCTGGTCTTCTCATCTTCATTGACCTTCATCTCCAACCTGGATCTTGCCATCACCCCCCTGACTGTCCCCTCCTATAATCTTCAGAGACGTCATCCTCCTCTCAGACCACAGCTTCCAATGTTCCCAATTCCTTCATTCCTGACCATCACTACACCTGTTTTCCAGCCTCATCAAGCCCTTCAGGGCCTGGATCTTCATAAATGTCTGTTTAATGACTGATGGATGGAAGGATGGACAGATGGACTGAAAGAAGGAGACAGAAATTCAAATAATTCACTCCACCAGATGATCCAAAGGACGTTTCTCTGTGACTCAAGGCCACGGGGACATAAGACATGGCAGCCAGGGCATTTTCTCCCAATATATTGACCCTTCCTGACAGCAGGGCCATCCTAACCAGCCCAGACATGGCAAGTCATCATCTAAACCCACCCTGGCCGAGGCCCTCAGGTCCCTCGGCCCCTTCTCCTTCTCGCTTTTTCCTCCTGGAAGAGCCCCAGCTCTCTTTCAGTCTCACTTTCCGTCTTCTCCATCCCTGCACCTGAGCTACAGGCGATGCCAGAGAAGATCAAGCAAGTTGTACATCAATGCCTGTGGTAGGCAGAATAGCAGTTCCCAAAATGCCCAAGTTCTAATCCCTGGAACATGTGAATATGTCACCTTCCATGGCCAAAGGGACTTTGCAGATGTGATTAAATTAAGGATGTTGAGATGGGGAGATTTTCCGGGGTTGTCAATAAAACCACAAGGATTCATATAACAGAAAGGGAGGCAGGAGAGTCAGAGATGAAGATGCGATGATGGAAGCAGAGGTCAGAGTGTATGATCGCTGGCTTTGAGGATGGACATGTTCTGGGTCCCGTGGGCAGAGGCACAGGGTGGAATTGGGGGCAGCGAGATGAATGCAACAGAGGGCCCCAGGTGAACAGTGCAGGGAGGCAGGCGAAGTGGCATAAAGAGGTTGGGACCCATTGGCTGACACCCCGTTTTTTTACGGTACCTTAAGGTCACGCAGGGCCATTTCTTAGCCTCATTAAGCCTGAGCTCAAAATTCGATCAACACATTGCCAAAGAGAGGTTATTTGCCCCCCACCCAGGCATGCCCTGGTCCCAGCTCTGAATGAGGCCCCGCTGTGGGAGATGTTTTCCCTCAACCTAGTATGTCTGGTCCTTCTTGGGACAAATGAAAACTGGTTCATCTGGATGAGAAAAATGCAGACATCACCCGATCAGCTTAGTGTGGGGATCTACTTTGAAGACTGTAGAGAATGTCCTATCTCAGGAGGCCGCTTCCTTTGAACTTGAACACAGAGGTGACAGCGGTGCCCTCCCGGGGTGTCCCTCAGTGCCTGGAGGTAAATCAGCCACTGGTCCAAGCTGTCCCAGGGCTGCCCTGGCTGCCATGTCTTATGTCCCCGTGGCCTTGAGTCACAGAGAAACGTCCTTTGGATCATCTGGTGGAGTGAATTATTTGAGTTTCTGTCTCCTTCTTTCAGTCCATCTGTCCATCCTTCCATCCATCAGTCATTAAACAGACATTTATGAAGATCCCAACCTGGGCTCAGAGGGACCCAGAATGAGTACATAATACAGTCTTGCCATCTCTACCCTCCAGAAGCTTATGGCCCATTAGAGAATACTGATCCATCTGCAGTTTATAAATAATAATAACAACAGCCATCTTGGATTGGATGCCGACTGTACTAGTCAGCTCGGGCTCAAGACCATACCCTGGATGACCTTAACAACCAAAATTTATTTTCTCACAGCTCTGGGGGCTGGAAGTCCTAGATCAGCATGGCTGGGTGCTGGGAAGAGTCTTCTTCCTGGCTTTCTCCTCCTCACATGGCAGAGAAAAAGAGACAGCAAGCTTGCTGGTGTTCCTTCTTAAGGGCACTAATCCCATCATGAGGGCCCCACCCTCATGGCCTCATCTAAACCTAATTACCCCCCAAAGCCCCATCTCCAAATACCATTACACTGGGGTTTGGGCTTCAACATATGAATTGGGGGGAGGGTGCATTATTCAGTCCATGGCACCTACCCTGAGCGAAGCTGGTAAATGTGTTATCTCTAATTATACAGCAGCTCCCAGTCAGCGCCACTGCCCTCATTTTATAACTGAGGGGAGGGCAGCTCAGAGAGGTTGATGACTGGCTGGAAGCCACACAGCTGGACACCAGCAGGGCAGGGATCTGACCCTGAGGTTGCCGACTCCAGTGGGAACAGGTTGGTTCCCACTCCCTAAGGAGCTGTCCTTTCTGATGCCTGGACAGGGTAGGACCATGCGGAGCAAGCATGTCAAACTCAAAGGCTAACACGGGCCAAGTAAATGAGGTTTAAGTTTACGTGGGCCGCAAAAGAACAAAAGCTTCAATTTTCATAGAAACGTGGGTTTATTTTGAAAAGTATAGTATAAAAAAAAAAAGAACAAGAACAATGATAAAATTAATGTTTTCTTCCTGACACTTGGCATCTCTTCTCTGCTACTGTCTTTCCTACTTCAGGGAAAATCTTATTCAGAGTGAATACTTTTAAAACTGACCCAAGGTGAATGTCAGCAATTCTGGATCTGACAGGAGACATATTTCCTTTCATAATTGTAAATAACTGCTCACACCGTTATATTGGCTGGGCCGCAAAAATATTCGTTGTGGGCTGTATGCAGCCCGCGGGCCGCGAGTTTGACATGCTTGATGTGGAGGATGCTGACGGTATCCAGCCCCAGCTCCCAGCAAATGCCGGCATCCACAGGGCCCCCTTCTTGGCCCAATAAGGCCCTGGAGCGGAGGGTTTAGGGGGGCGGGGAGGGGGGGCGAGCAGGAAGCCTGGCAGTGGGAGGTTCTATTTAAAGGACCTTTATTGAACGGGAAGAAGAATAGACTTGCCTACAGTCCCTGGTGCTGCCAGCCTCGTGCTAGGTTTACACACAGACTACTTGGAAAGGAAGAGCCATCCATCTCTAATGCATTTGCTGGCTGGGTTGGCGGGCTCAGGACCCTGCTGGGCACAGACCTGCCCCCTCACCGAGGGAAGGTGTGAAAATTAGCTCAGCAGAGCGCCTGGGATATGGTAAGCTCTTACTGAGGACCCGCTCTTGTTACGGCCATCACTATGATCAGTGGTCTGTGAGTCCAAGGCCGGGCCCCGCGTGTTTCTCCGCACACAGACCATCTTTCCGTTAAGCACGGTCACCCTGAGGCCAGGATCTCGAAGCTCAAAGCCCTGCCCAGCTCAGGAGTCTACTCCTGGCCGTGCATCAGCCTCAGCTACACCCAGAGCGAGCCACCTGGTGACCTGAGGAAGAGGAGACAGCCCCCAGGAGGTGTGTCGGGGCCTGGAGATCGGCTAGCGGCGGGGGGGGGGGGGGGGGGGGGGGGGGGGGGTGCGGCAGGCCTCTCAGAAGCTGGCCCCAAACTTTCACAAGTTCTCTGCTATATCCACCCACCATTAGCCTCTTAGTAGTCACCTGTAAATCAGCTTACTTCTGTTCTTTTTGACTTACATAGAGCTTGTTTTGTGAATATAAACATAACTGGAAAACCTGTATTCCCTGCCATTCATAGAGGTCATACTAAACCATTACAGCAAAAACAGCTCGATCCTCTGAGGGCCTTTCTTCGACGTGTGAGGATCAGAACGGTGTTACAGGCTTGCCTCAGACGGTTGTTTTTTGTTTTTCTTCTGGACCCAGCTGGGAGGATGGGAGAATTGAAGAGAAAACAACGTTCCCATGCTGGGCAGAGTCAGGTCTCTGCTGGCTCAGGAGCCACTTTCGCTCCCTGTAGTTTGGGGATGTCGTGGGGGCTTAGGGCTAAAGCTCTTGCTGGGTCGTGGGATCCGGAAACCCCGGGCAGGGGAGCCCCACGCTGTCTCTAGGCATGACCCTGGGTCCCCCCAGACTTCCAGGACAAGGACCCACTCGCCCCACTCTGGTAACAGAGCTGCCCCGTGTGAGAACGGAAGGTTGAGCCCCCTGAGCCATAGGGTCTCCGCCCTTGCCCAGCAGTGACCTTCAGCTGCACGGTGTCCCTCGTCCTCGCTCATGTCAGGCATCCCGAGCAGGTGCTCCGACAGGTCTCCAGTCACCAGCTAGAGCCTCCCCCCACCCCTCCCTCGGGTATTTCTGGCTCCAAGAGGGTAAGAAAGCCCTGAAACCTGAGACGAAGTCATCCTCGGTGACGGTGACGCGCCTGTGCATGTGCATTAATAGAAGCCTCCCTCAGGCCCCTGTCACGTGTGGGCAGCTGCTCAGCCCTGTCAAGTGGCCCTCAGCCCCAAGGCCAGCCCCCTCTGGCTCGGCCAGCACACTAAACTTAGCCTCGCCCCTCTGCACCATAATTGCCGCCACCACCCCAGCCCGGCCGCCACCTGCCTGGGGAGACACTGCCACCCGACCCTGCCCAGAGCACCCACTCCTTCGCGACCACCATGTCCCAGACCAGAACGCTGAAGGTCCGCCTGACACTCTTCTGCATCCTGGTGGGCATCGTGCTGGCCACGGTGGCCGTGGTGACCGACCACTGGGCCGTGCTGAGCCCCCAGGTGGAGCACCACAGCGCCGTCTGCGAGGCAGCCCACTTCGGCCTCTGGCGGATTTGCACCAAGAGTATCATCGTGAGCGGCAGCAAGGACAAGAGCTGCGGACCCATCACCCTGCCTGGGGGTAACGTACCTATGCTGTCCCTCATCCCTGCCTCCTGTCCTTGTTTGTTCCTTCCGGAAAAGTGGCTCAGAACAGCCCTCTGTGCCCGGAGAGGGGGTCTGAATTGCATGAGGCTGTGCACCACAGCAAGGGGAGCTCCCTGTATAGAACCCCCGGGGTCGGGATGACTAGTCTCCCTGCAGTCATACAGCCCTCTGCGACCCTAATAAATACAGTACAAGCTCAGGAAAGAGCCCGCTCTAATCACACATTACCCGTGATGCCCAACATGACAATTGGCGGGGCGGTAGGGAGACAAGGCCCATCACAGCCTCTGCTTCCTCCCCTGGTGCTTGGGCTCAGCAACGCAAAGTCCCTTCCCGTGCTGACAAATGCCACTCCGAGGCGGCACGGACCAGGCTGAGTGCGGCATCCCACTTGGCGTTCAGAATTATTCTGTTGTCGGACCGGGTGTTCATTGAAACCTCCCCTTCCAGGGAGCCAAGGCCAAGTCCCCCAAAACCTTGCAGTCTGGCGGGGGAGGACAGAGGAGCCCAAACCTTGTTTCTCCCTCTCCCCTCTTTCTTCTTCCTTCCCCGCCCGCTGGCTCCCGCCTTGCTCATTCCCACTGGACACTCGGAAGATTCATAAATACCCAGCTGTCTTGGAAACACCGAGTCCCCGGGCTGAGGGCTTTAAATGGCATGAGCATGTGCTTCACGGGTATCACATGGCCCCGATGCCCATGCCCCTCAGCCACTGCTGAGCACGCCCGTAAACAGATGCATCATCCAGCCAACTCCCCTGGGCAGGGCAGGGCAGGGCAGGGCAGGGCAGCTTCTCCAGAAACGCACTGGGATGGTCCTGCCCACCTGTGCTGGGAGGCATCTGCCTTTTAAAGTCTGGTGAGTTCGCAGAGCAGAGGAGCAGGGCGGTGAGCTGAGTTAATACAAGGGAGAGACAGGCTGGCAACAGGTGGCTGAGCCAGCCACTGGGGACCAGCAGGCACGGGTTGGCCTTGAACCTGGTCAGTCTATCTCAGTGCCTTCTCACTCTGATCCTGAGTGAATCATACTTGTGAGCACAGCCTTACCCCCAACAGGCTGCTGCTGGGTGTTCTTGACTTCCTCTCTCTCCTTTCTTGCACATGAACATCTTTTCCTTCCCCCCACCCTGCCTGTGCATTACAGGACCACTTTCCTGGAGGGATGGACAGAGTTCATACATGTTCCTTTTTTTTATATCCTCACCCAAGGATATTTTTTCATTGATTTTTAGAGAGAGGGAAAGAGAGAGAGAAATATCGATGTGAGAGAAACACATCGGTTGGTTGCCACCTGCACATGCCCCAACCAGGGCCCGAGCCGAGGAGGAGCCTGCAACCGAGGTACGTGCCCTTGACCAGAATCAAACCCAGGACCCTTTGGTCCTCAGGCCCACGCTCTATCCACTGAGCCAAACCGGCTAGGGCATACAATGTCCTTATGTATTATTAATAACAGTAATAATAAGAACTGCAAACACAAATAGAGGACTACCTGCCAGGCATTGTCTTAAGTGTTTTACATATTAACTTTGGATGACATCAGAAAAAAAAAATGACAGAGTGAGACCTCCAAAAATCCTCCTCTCCATAAAAACAATGTGAACATTGGCGAAAATGATCAGAATAAACTTTTTCAGAACTCTGGAAATGTATACTGCTTAGTGGAGTGCTTCACACTCCGCTAAGCACAGAGCCCCTCAGTACATACTGGGAGATGTATTCGTTCCAGTAATTTTAGGAAATCTCTGTGAGCTGACCACCAAACTAACTGAGCAGAGGTTTCAGTGGCCACACATGACAAAGAATATAGACTTTACAAAATTAATTCAGAAAGTCACTAAATAAACAACAATAACAAACAGAAATAGGAACAATCCTTGGGTAAGGTTAGAATGATTTCTAGAGTTGCTACATTATATTGTTTAAATTTTCCAGTTTTAAATTTAAATTTTAAAAAATTTCAAGACATGCAAAGAACTAAAAATGCATGGCCTATACAATAGTAATGTCAATAATAGTTTCTTAAGGAAGCCCAGATACTGGACTTACTAGACCAAGACTTTAAGTCACCTGTTTTAGATATATTCAAGGAATTAGAAGAAACCACTGGCCTTCCTCGTGTGCTAAGAATGATGTCTCATGAAGTAGAGAATAAAGATAAAAATTATTTTTAAAGGGTCTAATAGAAATCCTAGAGTTGAGAAGTACCATAACTGAAATGAAAAAATTCACCAGAGGAGTTCAATAGCAGAGCTGAGCAGGTAGAGGAACAAATCCATGACATTAAAGATAGGCCAAGTGAGATTAGCTAGTCTGAGAAACAGGCAGGAGAAATAATGAAGAAAAATGAACAGAGCCTGTGGAACAGAATGAAATGTATCAATATACACCTAAGGGTACTCCCAGAAGAAGGAGAGAGAGAGGAGCAGGAAGTCCATATGAAAAATAATGGTCAACATTTTCCCAAATCTGATGGAAAACATTCACCTAGAAACCCATGAAGCTTAATGAACTCCAAGTAGGATAGATCAAAATCTGGACACATCATAACCAAAAGGTAGATAAGTCGAAAAATAAAGACAGACTCTTGTGAGAGCACCAAGTGACTCATCACATACAAGAAATTCTAACTAAGAAAAACAGCTACTTTTCCTCCTAAAACCACGAAGGTCAGAGGCAGTGGGATGACATATATTTTAGCTCATCTAATTCTCACAAAATCCTCTATGGGGTCCATACTATTATCATCATCCCATCTTACAGATAAGGAAAACAAGGCACAGAGAAGTTGAGTAATTTGACCGAATTCACACAATTACCGTGGCAGGATGCTGGGCAAGTCTTGAGCGACAGTGGCAGAGGCCTGGCTTGATTGGTCCTAACTGAGCATCTTGTTGCTGCCGGAAGTGTCCAGACTGAGCACTGGGTCTGACATACCCCACCTGTGCTGGGGCCATCAGGGCCCACAGAGGAGCCTGTGGTCGGTCTCCAGTGGGCAGCCATGGGGCCCCGAGCAGATGCCCCGCCCAGGCCTTCCTCACGTGCTAAGTCCAAGAGAGGGGACAGGGTTGGCCTGTCTGTCCTCAAGCCCTAAGTTCAGCCACGTGAGAGAGAAGCTGAGACTTCCAGATGTCCTCAGTGGGAGCCCTGCCCACTGGGTGCCCCTCGCCATGTGTGAGAGCATATAATTGGGGAGGGGAGGGACAGGAACACTGCCCCTGGGCCACTGAGGGGAAAATCCCCCCACCCCCAGAATCCACAGGCTGGCTTCCCAGACATGCTGTCCCCCCCGTGTCTGAGCTAAGAAAGCTTTTGAGCAAGTGCCTAGTGTCAGCAGCGGTTTGTCCAAAATGGGGCCTGGTGTCTATCTCCTGGGGTTGACAACCCGAACACGCCCTGCGCGAGAGTAGCCTCGACACCCCAGAACCGCCCATAGCTGGGCCTTCATCCCATGCCCCCTCCCCCCGCCCCGCCCTCTCCCTGCTCCAAACGCCTTTAACTGGAGGATGGCGAGTAGTCACAGAAGCAGCTGGCTGTGAAATACACTTGAATTCAATCAATTCTTTTCAGAGGGTTTTCAATGACGCCTGAAATTGGCCCTTAGAGAATGAAACAGAATGTTCCTTTGTCCAGAGAGAGGCCTGTGGTGACTTAGGACACAGCACAGCCATTTTGAAGCAGTGACTGGAGACAATCTATAGCGAACAATCTAACAAGTATGAGAGGGCTGCATTATGTTCTAAAACAGCCCCGGAAGCTGTGAGAGAGAAAAGAGCAGCTCGACTCTGACATCACCACTTACCGGTGTCAGACACCCCAGGTAACTCAGATAAAAAGGAAAGCGATTTAAATATAGAAGCTCAAAGAGAGGGCGGTTTACCTCTCAGAACATTCACTGCTGCTCACTACGCCAGGCTTGGTCTCCAGGGGCCATTTCCTTCCTCCACCGTGGGAGCAGCGGTGACCCTGAGGTGGGGGAGGAGGGGGGAGTGGGAGGCCACAGGCTCCGGGGGCAATGAGAGGATTTGGGCCAGATAGAAGGAAGCCTGCACCCACATGAAGGCAGCACCTCGGGCGCGTCTCCGTCCGTGGCCTTGTGAAAATGCAGAGACAGCCTGGCCTGTTTGGCTCAATGAATAAAGCTTCCGCCCACGGACTGAAGGGTCCCAGGTTCAATTCTGGTCAAGGGCCTGCTCCTTGGTTGCAGGCTTAATCCCCGACCCTGGTCGGGACATGTGCAGGAGGCAGCAATAGACGTGTCTCTCTCACATGTTGATGTTTCTCTCTCTCTCTCTGTCTCCCCGCTCCCACCCACTCTCTCCAAAAAAAAAAAAAGGAAAAATATCCTCCGGTGAGGACTCAAGAAAAAAAGAAAATGCAAAGACAACCTGAAGGTCAAGAAATGAATGCAAAACCAGAGGCTCTAAACAATCAATAAAGAAAAAGCAATCAATAAAGGGCCTCACACAAGTAAAAAGCAACTTGATTTAGTTTTCTTAAAGAAACAAGATAGTATAAAATAACCCAATCATCGACTTCCTAAATCAAGAGTAAATAATATTAACCTGTATTCAATATGCAATAGGACTATCCTTTCATTTGATAGTATGTCTAGTTACAGGAGAGATGAAAAGGAAAAACGGAAGAGAAATTATACCTGAAATTATACTTAACATCAGCACGAATTTCTTTGTTCTGAGGCCTTCCTTTACTCCCCCATCGAAGAACATCCTACTGTCCGCAGGTCTTCTTCCGCTTTCCTGATAGTTACTAGGGAGACCGAGAAGCCGGCCGGGGAAGGGCTGGGCTGGGCTGCCTCTGCAGCCACGGGTGTCGAGGGTCCGATGATGAAACAACCTGCTGGTCACATTTGGCCCTTGAATGGATTCTCTAGCCCTCACCCAAGTCCCTCCAGGTGGCCCACTCAGAAGAGCACTTTGCGGGGCATTTGAAGGGGCCTGGCGCAGGGCTTCCCAATGCGGCTGATCATCAGAATTCTCCTGGGAAGCTTTTGAAAAGCCAGTGAGTCAGGGTGGGCCTGGTGCTGAGAAACACAGCTCTAGACTTCGGTGGGATCCAGGGTTTCTTAACCTCAGCGCTACTGGCACTCTGGGGCTGGAGAACTCTATGATGCAAGAGGCTGTTCTGTGCAGAGGGATGTGTAGCAGCATCCCGGCCTCTACCCACTAGATGCCACTAGCAGCCCTGCCCAGTTGTAACAGCAAAAATGTCTCCAGACATTGCCCAAGGTCCCTGGCAGATATAATCGGATGAACCACTGTGTAGCCTTTTGTTGACCATGTATCCTGTCCCCCCTGACAAATGACTTGAGCCCTGGGCCTCAGTTACCCCATCTACCTAATGGGCTCAGTCCCCAAGTGCTGTCTGTACCTTTGACTCAATCAGCCTTGGCTCCCCGAGGATCTCCCAGCCTCTTATGCAACCCCCTTAACCTGGTGACATTTTCGTCTTAGGGTCAGAGGAAGGTATTTGTCTCAGCCCAGGGTGAGGGTTTGGGGAGAAGACACCAGCCCAGAGGTCCCTTCCGCCCACCCTGGTGGGATCACACCACCCTCTCTCAGCCGAGCCTCTGCCTCAGCTATGGGCCCTTTTCCCTCACCTCACAGGTTGTCTCCTCCTTTGCAGAGAAAAACTGTTCCTACTTCCGGCATTTCAACCCAGGCGAGAGCTCAGAGATCTTTGAATTCACCACTCAGAAAGGTGAGCCCAGGGCATCAAGCCGGGAGGGCGGGGAGAAGTGACTGCGGTCACACCGCTGAGGCAGGAAATCATCTGGCGCAAAAGCCCGACTTCCCCGCGCCTGGTGAGAAGAGCCCTGCCACCCTTGGTGTGTCCCAGCCTCCGTCCGTGGGGCTGGGGCAATGGAACAAGCGCTCACCATCCCTGGGACAGTATTCCGGCTGGCGGGTCAGAGTCTGTGGGGAACTGATTCCCTCCCACGCCATAGATCACACCCCAAGAATCAGGAGGGCAGGGGGTGGGGGGAGATGCATCAGAGTCCAGGAGCCCCGAGCACATGTGCTCTGGGGTCTTCTAGGAGCCATGGAGCTCGCATGCACCCCTCTGTCATGGGTACAGAACCACACCTGCACATGTACGAACGGCGGCACACGGTGTGGGTGTACACACACATACGCACAGATTTGCTCTGGTAGATCTTTATATGCCGGTGCAACACTAACACACACACACACTCATACACCCCACACAAATCTTACACCTGTTTCACACACACACACCACGCAATCTTACACCTGTCACACACACACACCACACAAATCTTATACCTGTCTCTCTCTCTCACACACACACACACACACACCCATGCAAATCTTACACCTGTCTCACACACACACACACACACACACCCCACACACAAATCTTACACCACACACACACACGCAAATCTTACACCTGTCACACACACCACACGCGCACACACACGCCATGCAAATCTTACATCTGTCTCATACACACACACCCCACACAAATCTTATACCTGTCTCTCTCTCTCACACACACACACACACAAACCATGCAAATCTTACACCTGTCTCACACACACACACACACACGCAAATCTTACACCTGTCACACACACCACACGCACACACACATGCCATGCAAATCTTACACCTGTCTCATACACACACACCACACAAATCTTATACCTGTCTCTCTCTCTCACACACACTCACACACACACACATACCATGCAAATCTTACACCTGTCTCTCTCTCTCACACACACACACACACATACCATGCAAATCTTACACCTGTCTCACACACACACAAATCTTACACCACACACACACACACAAATCTTACACCTGTCACACACACCACATGCACACACACATGCCATGCAAATCTTACACCTGTCTCATACACACACACCACACAAATCTTACACCTGTCTCACACACACACACCACGCAAAGCTTACACCTGACACACACACACACACACACACACACACACGCCCGTGCTCTGTAACAAGCCCCCTTCCAGAGGCTGCTGTCAGTCCAGGACAGACCACCCTCCACCGAGTGCCTGCTGCTTTCTGCCCCATCACTCAGGAAGTTTCTGCTCCAGAAAGGCCTCCAGCCACGTGCCTCCTGCCCCTTCCCAGTCCTCTGCCCGGTGGGGAGGTTGGGGGAGGGGTTGCAGTTTCGTGCAACCCAGGAGTTAGAATTGAGTCTCTACTCGTGTGCGACTTGAGCGAGTGATTTCTTCTCTCGGGGCCTCAGTCTTCCCACATGTGCAATGGGAATCATAACCCATGGTAGTGTCACTCACCTGGTTGGCGGCACAGCCAGCGGTGACCCGAGGCCAGGACGAGGCCACTGCTGAGGTGCCCGTCGGCCCCTGTGTGTGTTGCAGAGTACAGCATCTCGGCCGCCGCCATCGCCATCTTCAGCCTCGTCTTCATCATCATGGGAACCATCTGCGTGCTCCTGTCCTTCACCAAGAAGCGGGACTACCTGCTGAGGCCGGCATCCATGTTCTACGCCTTTGCAGGTGGGGGGGGGGGGGGAACTTGCCTGTGAGCCCGGGGCCAGGGGCGCGATGTCCAGGGTGAGGGCTGCTGCCACCCCATCCTCCCTCCAACCTTGAGATGTAGGTCTGGGGAAATTCCCGGGCTCCACGCAGGAGCAGACTCGGTCAGGACTCACCAACACTCAGTGGGTCTGGGAGATGTTGGCAATTTGTCCATTTAATCCACAAGCACTGAGAGCAATGCCCGTCACTAACACATTTTAAATTAATCCAAACAAATACTAACACAGGAAGGAAAGAAACGCAGTTACCCTGAGGTTGAGCGAGTCGTGCGCTAGGCAGGCAGACGGGTCACTTTGCAGGTCCCCATGTGCACCTCCAGTCTTGAGACAGTCTCCCCCACGGCCAGGTCTCCTCCTTGTCCCTGCGGAAGCCCCAGCCAACAGTGGGCACAGGCCGGGTGGGGCCCTGAGCGTCCCCGCTCTGCCCTCAGGTCTCTGCATCTTCGTCTCGGTGGAGGTCCTGCGGCAGTCGGTGAAGCGCATGATCGACAGCGAGGACACGGTCTGGATCGAGTACTATTACTCCTGGTCCTTCGCCTGCGCCTGCTCCGCCTTCGTCCTCCTCTTCCTGGGCGGCCTGGCCCTGCTGCTCTTCTCCCTGCCTCGCATGCCCCAGAACCCCTGGGAGTCCTGCATGGACTCGGAGCCTGAGCACTAGCCCTCCTGGGGTCCCAGCGACTCTCAGGGCTTTCCCCCCAGGAAGCCCAGCCCAGAACATTCTAGAAAGGAGGCGGGAGCGTCACATCTCTCCTGTTCCCACCTGACCCACACTGCTGCTGCGGCTTCCCCTCCCCTGGCGCCTCTCTGGGCTGCGACAGGCGCCTGGGGAGTCCAGCAAGTGGACACGATCCAGACCTGCCCTCGGTGGGAAGGAGGCGGGCCCAGCAGGTGCACAGGTGTCTGCAAAGGCCCGACCTCCCGCTGGAGCTCGTAGTCATCCCCACGGCGCCAGCTGTCTGATAGGCTGGCTGCCGTTGTCCTGTGAGCCTGATCAGGGACGCCCTGTGCTCATTACCAGCTCGGGGTGTCCTCCGGGGCAAGCAGCCAGCCCCTCGGTCCTTGGCGACAAGACGCACTGTGTTTGGTGAGCTGACCCCGACCTCGCCTTCTCTGAGGCCGGAGAAGCATCTTTAACTGGGTATTTTCTGACTGTGGTTTGAAATAAAAGTTCTTTGAAAACTTGCTTTTTCCTGTGTCTTGCGTAGAAAATGCGAGGATCCCTGACTGCAGCTCAGGGGCCGCAGGGACCCTGGAGGAGAAGGGAAAGGGGTCTCTGGGACGCACGTGGGGACACGTGGGGAGAGGGGTCCTGTTTACCGAGACTTACCGTTCTGAATTCCAGCGTGCATCTCGGGGCCCTGGGGTTTTCTCTGGCAGAAACCAGAGACCATCCAACTAGGCAAGGGTGTTAAAAATAGGAGGGCTTATTTCCAGAGCGCTGGCCTGCCAGGCGTCCAAGTGCTAACACAGCAGTCATGCCGCACAGCCACAAGTGTCTGATTGCCGATGCTGGGTTGTCGTTGCAGAGAACATGAGGAAGCGGGGCTTAGCAGTTAGACATGGAGGGCGCCGTGGAGGGCCGTGACTCACACGCTTCCGCCTCCCAGAGCCCCGCTGCCCTCGCCCAGCCCGCAGGAGCCGGCCCAGGGAGGACAGGGAGCAGGGAGGGCGGGCGGGGGCTCTGTGAGTCCCAGAAGAGGAAGATTGCAAAAAGCTGAGAGGAGGGCTGGTCCACGTGAAACCCATCTGGGTTTGCTGACTGGCACTCATCAAAGTGAGCTCCTCCCCTGCCGCGGACCGGGAGACAGGCCCCATTTTCAGGGGTTTTCTCAGGTGGGCACTGAAGGGGGGCTAGGTCATCCTACGGGTGCGGCCTGAGCTGTTAGGAACGTTGTCAGTGTCTGCTCAAGTCTTTACACAGCGGAATCGAGACGAGGGCTCAGCGGAGCCTGGCTCGGGTCTGGTCAAGGAGGGCGTCGGTCAGAACACAGTCGCCCCCCTTCCGTGGCTGATTGCCGGCCAGGACGGCAGCAAGGGGCAGGTGAAACACAGGCTGGCTGGGGCCTTCATCACATCCTACTTCCCTGCTTTCCCTGCCAGTGTGACTTGTCCCATTTCGATCCAATGTTTCATTTACACACTCATTTCTAATTCATATCCTGCCCGCTTGCACAAAAGATCCGAAGTGGGGACCAGGTATAAATAAAGCCATGAGGTGGAACATTCCCATTAAACCCAGGACTGGTGTTCGGCCGGGCGCCGCTGCCCACGGCCTCTCGAGCCCTCATTCCCCGTCTCACTCAAGCGCAGCCGCCGAGGCCTTAATTAATCCCCACACAAGGCATCGATCCTGTGGGTGAAGCAAGTTCATTAAGGTAATTGCCGTTTCCAGGGGCGATACTGTCTTCTCCTTTTGCTCCTGACAAGAATGTCTGGCCTCAATGTGAGAGAGCCAGCCTTCTGGAAATGCTTGCTGCCCTGGGATTAGACTTTGCCTCTCTATTCACCCACAGTGCGGTCCTGCTAACCCCCCAGAGAAATGGAGGACAGGGGGTTAGTCACCACAACCTGAGAGTCCTGGGCTGGAGGAGTTCAAAACCGATTTCCAAGTCGCTGATTTAACAGCGAACGCGCCTCCCGCCCCCAGCCCGCCAGGGGTTTCAAACAAGGTCTTCCGGTGACCAAGGGGGTGTTTTAAAGCACGAAGGAGCTTAATAAAACCAGGGATGCAGCTTTACCTGGAAACGCCCAAGAGGCAGGGAGGTGACCATGTATAACCTGCCTAACGGGGAGGAAAATGAGAAAAGGGAAAGGCCACAGCCAAGACCGGCCCAGCCTGGGACAGAGGTGGCCAGGGAAGCGGCGACAAATGAGAAAGAGGCCAGGCCACCGGCCGCAGCCGTTGTTCTGGAGAGATGATGGGTTTGGCTGAAGCTGAGAGGGACGCTCTGGGGCCACGGCCGAGGGCCACCGTTAGGCCGGTTTCACAGAAGTGAAGTTTACAGAGGACACTGAGAGAGCCTCTCCTCCTCCTAACTCTCTTCAAATGGTTAGACCAGCCGTGGGCAAACTACGGCCCACTTGAAATGAATAAAACTAAAAAAAAAAGACCGTACCCTTTTATGTAATGATGTTTACCTTGAATTTATATTAGTTCACACAAACACTCCATCCATGCTTTTGTTCCGGCCCTCCGGTCCAGTTTAAGAACCCATTGTGGCCCTCGAGTCAAAAAGATTGCCCACCCCTGGGTTAGACGATGTCTCCAGACCAGAAAGGGCCACCTGGGAAGTGTGCTAAGACCCTGCTCCATCCTGAGCCTGGGGAGCCCCCTCTGGCCTCTGTGCACACAACAGACTTCAACTTATTCCAGCATCACTCGCTTCATACGTTACAGGCACCGAAAGGACCTCCACGGAGTTCAACCTTCGTGCTGGAACTTTCTTTGAAGGAGGCCTTCCAACCACATTTCTCCAGCCTTTTCTCTGCATACATTTCAACCTCCTGCCTGTGTTTCAGGGGTCAGGAGTTTTGTTCTGTATTCGTCTCTGTGGAATTCAGGCCTGGGCCCATCTGCGCAGATAACATGGTACAAGCAAATACCCCTGTTTATCTTTCTGAATCACAGCGTTTGCTCATATTGTCCAACCGAAAGAAAATAAGCCAGCGCCAGATTTAGATATCAAATGGCATCTGCCTTTTATAAATTCCTTTTTCAAAGGTTTGTGTGCTTCTGCATGCCACAATGGCTCCAAGAAATGGATTTTACAAGAAGCTACCATAAATGTATTTACGAGAGTAAAAAAGTAAAACATGTATTTCATGTATTATCTAGGTAGGCCTTACATTTTTGGGTTCTAACATAACACTGTGGGTCTTTTCTGAACAAGGATTTTTGTGGCTTAGATTTTGGGAAACCACTGACAATCCTCTGATCAGATGACCTTCGAGGTCCCTTCCAGCTACTTTCCATGAAGCAGATTTTGGTCAAAACTTATAAGAGTTCAAGAAAGAAGGAGCTCCTTGGAATACATTTATCTTGCTTACCTGACGAGGGCCAAGGAAGGCTTTTGAGGAAGGAAGTGACAGATCCAGATACAGGAACAGAGAGGTGCAGGTGAGATGGGTCTAAAGGGCAGAGGTCACGGGCAGAGACAGAAGCTAGAAAGTACTGGGGAAGTAAGCGTCCCTTTTTCACGACCTCCACCCTTGCCTTTCATCTGTCAACTGACAAGTGTCTTGAAATAATTCTCTGCATCTCCTGTCACCACTGCTCTTGAGGGACCATTATTCTGTCCACCCCACTGAGTGACAACACCGAGTCCTAGGCATGTCCTAAACGAGGACATAACTGAGAGGTTAAAGTAGGCAGTGTGCGGGTCGGCTAAATCGCCATCTCAGACGGTGATTAAAGAAAATTGGATTTATTTAAAGAAATGGGGGATGGGGAAGTCCAAAGGGAAAGGCTCCACAGCACTGCGCCAAAGAGTACCGGATCCATAATGGCAGCAAAAATACACTTAGGACAGTGAAACCAGGAAGGGCATAGGAGAAGCCACAGGAGAGCCTCGGCGGGGCTGCTCTGGCTCACTGAGAAGTCAGGGAAAAGGGGGCCTTGGAGACAGGCTCAGGGGGTGAGCCCAGAATGAGCTGCCACTGCCCATTGCTTCAGTGGTTGCAAGTCTCGTGGGGTCCCTTAGAGGTTAGGGGATAGGTGCCTGTGGGGGAAGGAGAGGGGACAGGGAATGGCAGGGGCATGCTCCTTGGAGAGAGAGTGCAACTGAGTCTTCTGTTTTGAGCATATTTCTCTCTCTCTCTTGCAGGTGGCAATCTTAGGGAGGTCTCAGGGGAGGGTCTCAATAGAATATTCATCAGCTTCCCAGGTGTGCGCTTTCAGGGTCATGGTCTCCACTGATTGGCTGGCGCCTGGACAGAGGGTCATTACTCAATGCAGCTGGTCCTGAGGCAGCCAAGATCACTTGCCTGGTTTTGCTGCTTTTCTGGGCCTGGAGCTGAAATACAACTAAGGCCTAGATGTTATCTTTAGGGAGAAAACGGTCAGGGGTCTAAACCGCATGACCAGGGATATGCAAGATCCGGGATCCAAGCCACAGGACCAGTGATATGCCAGGGAGGACAGGTTACCCTGGGGGAGAGGGTCTTGTTTTCCCAGTGTTGTCCCTTGCCAGGCACCCAGGGCTTTCTGCCCTGGTGAGTTTCTGTATCTGGCCCATCGTCCTTGCTCTGCTCATGTCTGTATAACGATAACGAGGAATAATACCTTACGGTCCTGTCCTTCAGGAACTTAGCGTTCCATGGCAGATGGTTTAAAAATAAGTTGTAAGAGCCATGAGGGCGGGCGGGTTCCTCGGAAACACAAAGGGGCCTGTGGTCTGCCCCTCTCTGAACCTGCTGAAGTCCTGCTTATTCTGCAGGGCTCCGCTCAGACATCGCCAGGTGCCACGTTCTCCAACCCTCAGTGCAAACTGCATGCTTCCCTCCTCCTTGTGCCCTTGACACTGGGCTCCTGTTCCCGGTGCTGGGTGTCTGTATAGCTCGCGGCCTCTGCATGCCTTGCTCTTTGAAGGGAAGGGCCTTGCTTTCTTCCGACTCATGTTGGCAGTCAGAACCTCCCCCGCATCCTTTCCTCCAAACCTCTGCACAGCGGACAGTATACAGCCCTGGGGTCATGCTGGGACCTTGACCACGTGCATGCCCCAGAATGCTGCGAAGGAGGAGGCGGACAGATGGGGAGAGCGTGTGCAAAGATGCTCAAAGAGAAGAGGCGGAAAGTGCCGTCAGGAGGCCTCGAGGAGCAAGAGAGGAGCTTGAAGGAGCTGTTCTCCATGTGGCTGCCTGACCCCAGGTGTCTGCAGCCCGAGTGGCTTGTCCCCGGGCTCGGCCTGAGTGGGAGGAATGAGGCCGGGTTGGCTGTGTTCCCTGCAGCACAGAACACACCACGTTTGTCCCCATGAGATGATTTTTGAGCGACAGCACAGCAGCTGACAGACAGCCTTTAAGAACAGACAGATTTCCGGAAGTACTTTTTCCAGGAGGTTCAAAACCACCTTCAATTACCCTCGATCACAATTTTTTCCCAAAACGTTTTCTCTACCCCGCTAATAGCAGAACCGGCCCGGTAGGAATTAGTTCAGTCCTAGAAAGCCTACAGGGTCTCCCCGAG